GGAGGATAACATATATGTATATTATTGACACAGACAAGTAGGACGTAGAAAGGAGAAGCTTGACTCTAACAAAAAAAAAAAAAACGAATCGTCTCGGCGCCACACGGTGGTCGTAGTGGTGCTTCATCCACCTCTGCACCAGGTCAAGGTCCAGTTCGATGTGCTGTACCTCGTGGTCAATAAGTTCGGGGTCAAGTGGTGAGGGAAAGAGATGAATTAGGCAGCTGCCGTACCGATTTCCCCCATCAAACTGGTGGTCCACCACGTAATGCTTTGGTTTTGCTACCAACGCCAAAATCGCCAAACGTAATTTGATAAACTCAAACAAACAAGGCTCAAGGTGCGATAGGGGCTCCTTGGGGTCACTCGTGGCATTGGCCAAGCGACCACGTGCAATGCCGCGGTGTACAGTCACCTCACATAACAAGTACTGTGTAGCTGTCCGAAGCTGTGGTGTACAAATACAGTCAATGGAGTATCCAAAATCGTAATGGGGGGGATACACAATAGTGGGATCATACGATTGCGTGCTGTACATGCTCATCCCCATTGCCTGAGCCACCTTTGCGATACCGAGCGTGTAACGTCGCTCTATACCCGAGTAATCCACCCCCCTCAGGCATACGCAAGGGCCTATTGCATAATAATTGAGCCGCAAACAACTTTATTTTACGCATGAGAAACAGTTCCGCTGCCACCTTCAGCTCAGAGCTACCTGTCTTGATGCAAACATACTTGACACGTTCATCATCACTCAGCTCACGAGGAAAGTAATGCGTATAAATGATATCACTGATGGTCGAAACATAGCGTCCATCAATCGTTATTTCTCGCTTGTATGGGAACCATCGCACCAAGCTTTCGGTCCGGGGGCAAGATGCCTCAAGATAACCGTGAATGTGTCGTGGAATGCTTTGCGCACTGAGTGTCTTGCCCGTTCGCCTCATCATACGCTTCCAGTACCGCGTAAGGGGGTTGTGTTCAAAAACGGGGTTGTCTCACATGGACATGCGGCACCCCCGTGACGTGCGCATGTGTGTTCCCTCGTCACTCTCCTAAACGTCCTCGCCCTTTCCTTCACACCAAACCCCCTGTGTATATAACACTGGAGAGGATGTGTTAAAAGAGGAAGTAAAAAAGAGGAAGAGAAAAACAAACAAGAAAAAAAGAACTGACTTCACATGTACACTTATGTTTTGTGCGCAATAAATTAGCAAAGGCTAAAGGGGGAAAAGGGCGGGAAGTGTATTCATCAAAAGCAACGCCTCTTCCAGCGCTCAGTTGAGCAATAAACTCCCCCTTTGCAGAATGCATTCAGGAGTATCACTGCACTGGTAGTGTAGTGCCTGTCACGTCCCGGTTTCACGTTTCTGGCAATCTCCCTCACATATTTGACTGTGTCCAAAGTTTACGCAGTTACAGATGCAACTGAGCATTCTTTTTTCGCAGCCATGACACACCTCCACGCAGACGGAGTCCCCCGCCACAAGGATCTTGCCAGACGCAACAAAACTCTTCAGCGGCACTAGGCAAACGCTATGGTGATCCTCCTCCTCAACGAGATCCCAGAAACTTCTCTGTGGTGTCTTCGAAAACAAAGCTCACGTATCTTCCAATTGTGTCGTTTGGCGCCGTCATTTCTATTTGCTTCTCCAGCAGCAACAATGAATCCTCCTCAACGTTGTTTGGCTTTGCACCGTGCCGCAGCGGGCACAGTGTGCTCCAGAAAAGACATCGCCTCCTCATGCTGCAATAGCACACGAGTACCATTCTCGTCGTTGTCCACCAACGAGGGTAAGGCAAACATGTATGCAACATCAGGCGAATGCCCCGAGCCATTCAACGCACACTCCGTCACAAGCACAAGACAATCCAATTCTTTTCGCCGCGTCAGTGAAAAGTTGTTGTCTACGACGTCCAAAAAATTCCAGGTTATTCACGCCTTGACCCACATAACACAAAAACAAAAACAAAAAACACGTCCCCAATGAGGCAGCAAAAGGTCTTCTTCGAGGCCCCTTTCAACTCCAGAATTGTGTGTGCCACGGCAGACGCCTCACCAGGAAACGGCCCTTGCGATGCCTGGTGCAGTGGCGCAAACACATGAACGGACCATCCAACGATCTTCTTGGCATCAAAAAGGTCAGACTGGCACCCATCCAAGAGTGGCTACAGTGCCGTTCTAAAGGCTAGGCGGGCGTAACTGACTCCAGGTTTGGCAGTAAGCACCGCAATGATTTTATCAGCAACAAACCTGGTTCGAAGAAAGCCACCCATTCGCCAAAAAGCAGGAATGGACGATGCCGCAGCTACGCAGTGGATCCCTCACATGATTGATCCAAAATTCCAAATAACATTTTAGTAGCTCACACACAACACACACATCCTCACAAATCGATAACAACATGCGTGCAACAAACCGCCACTGACAGTCATTCTCTGACAGCAAGAGTGAGACATCAGCGTGGTTACGAAGGTCATCATCCGGTATTGCAGAAGCGCCAAAAACGTGTGTCCCCGCATTTCTTCCCCAGCGCGCAGATGCTCGCAACACGTACTGAGTGAATTGCACCTCTCGGCCGTATCACGTGAGTCACGCACCATGGGAAGAAGACGGGTTGTTGCATTCTCAAAACAAAAACAAAAACTCGATAAATATGCTTGCCTCTGCGCAACCAGAGATAAAATCATACACGTTGGCATTCTCTCTCCGGGTAGGATTAACCACAACGCGTAAGTAGCAAAGTAGAGTTTCCTTTACCATCCCTCCTCCGCTCCACAACGTAGCCCAGCGTGGCCAGTGGTAACATCACATCCACGCGCCCAATGTCCCCCTTCCTGGCGATAAACAGACAACTGTCTGCTATGATTACAGCCACTTCCAGAAACTGATCCTGGCCCATAAGGGCGAGGCTCGAATAGTGTGCATTGCGCAGGCGTACAGGTGGCACAGTAGATGCATCCCCGGCTGTATTTGTTTACGTAAAAAAAAAAAAAACAAGTCGATGGGAGTTCCATATATCTCGCGCCCGCTTAGAAAAAAGCATACTTTAGGCTTCCCCCATGCCATCGCGTGAGGTGCTTTGGAATAGAGGGTCTTTTTCCCCCCATTCCTCTTGACGCTGCGGGTTTCCGTCACCGGCTTCCATCAGCCATAACGGTGGCAGTTATGAGGGAGAAGCTGCCTTGTCACAAACTCACTCACACTCGCACAAGGAGTGAAAAGTTGTGTGAGTGAGATGCTCCAAGCCGCAAGCACCCCTCTCAAGACATCACCGCCAGGACCAGCAGTAGCAGAAGTAGTACCCTAATGCATGCGCAAATAAAAAAAAAAAGAGAAAAAAGAAGAAATGCTTATCATCACTCTCCACCGCGACAGGAAGCGACAACCGGCAAAAGTAGCAACGCCTCAAAAACACGGCGAAAACCAGCAAACAGAACACGGAAGTTAGGCTACACCAAGGTGAGAAAACGAAAAACGAAAAACAATCTGGCCAAAAGGGATCCTACTCCTCCGCCTCGACGTTGGTCTTGGTCTGCACGTAGATACCGTCCAGGAACTTACGGATATCCTTCTTCTTCACCAGGCAAAGCTGATGCATCACGGCGGCCTCGCGCGAGACTTCCTCCAGGTCATTGCCCTCCAGCACAAGTTCGTCCTTCACAATGGAGGGGTCTGTGCGGTAGACCTTGACGCTATCGGATATGAGCTGCCGGCGAACACGTTTCTCCCCAAGGAAGTTGCGGATCTCCACAAGCTGATTCTCCACAGAGACGGAGATGGGAAAGTGCGCGTAGGCAAATCGAATCTTGAAGCGGAAGCCCTTTGTCACACCCGTGAACATGTTGCGCACGTGCGACAGTGCCGTGTTGATGGTGGAGTTATTGATCTTTGTGCCAAACCAACGGACGGCGGTGAAGGTGCGGAACTTCTTGTTCACACGGAAGTCCAGCTGCAGGTGACGGAGGTCC